CTCCTTTATCATCCCTCGCCTTGCCTCCGTCCCTCTTTCTACTGTCCGCCATTCTTCTCTGTTTTTCTCCTCCCTCTCCCTCTCTCCCCTTCCTCCCTCTCTCCCATCCCTCCTCCCTTTCTTTTTTCTTCTCTTTCCCTTTCTTTCCTTCTTTCTCTCCTCTCCTCTTTCCTCCTTTTCCTTCTTTCTTTTTTCACCGCCACTCTTTTCTCGCTCTCCATTCTCTTTTTCCCGCGATTTTTCCCGTATTTCTATAGAGTCCCATTGCGACCGTCTACGCCTGCATTCTGCCGCCCTCTTTTTCCTCTTTTTTTTTTCCCAACTTCTCTTTCCTCCCTCCTCCCTCTCTTCTTTTCCTCCCTCTTCCTCCCTCCCTCCTCCCTCTCCCTCCCTCCCTCCCTCTTCTCCCTCCCTCCTCCTCTCTCTCTCTCTCCTTTCCTCTCTCTCTATCCCCCTTCCTACCTGTCCCTGTTCTTCTGGTTCCTCGCCATCTTTCTCCCTCGTTCCCTCCCTAATCTCCTCCTCTCCTCCATCTCTTTCTCTCTCTCCCGTTTTATTTATACAGCCCAGCGACGCACGCCGCATGCGCTCTTTCACCTTCCCTCCCTCCCTCCTCCCTCCCTCTCCTCTCCCTCCGCTCCCTCCCTCCCTCCCTCCCTCCTCCCTCTCCTCTCTTCCCTCCTCCTTCTATCTTCGTACTTCTTCCCCCCCTCTGCCTCCCTTCCTCTTCCCTCCCTCCCTCCCTTCCTCCATCCCTCCTCCCCTCCTCTCCTTCTTTCCTTCCCTCCCTCCATTCTCCCCTCCCTCCGTCCCTGCCTCTCTCCCACCATCTCTCCCTCCCTCCCTCCCTGCCTCCCTCCGTCCTCCCTCCATCTCTTTCTCTCTCCCCGTATTATAATAGAGCCCAGCGGACCGCCACGCCGCATGCGCCACTCTTTCCTCCCTTTCATGCCATCTCTCCTCCCTCCCTCCCCCCTCCCTCCCTCCACGTCGCTCTCTCCCCGTCTCTATAGAGCCATCGTACGCACGCCGCATGCGCTCCTCACCTAGCACCGTCGGAATGCTGCTGCGAGCCGCTGATGGAGGCGAGCGGGTTAGCGAGATGCGGCATGTAGCGGTGCGCCGTCCCGCGACGCGCGCTCGGATCGGCGAAATGCAATCGCTGCTCCTCGAACACGAAGCTCTCCTCGCCATCGTCGGGCAGGCTGCGCTGCGCCGGCCGGCGCGAATCGCCCCTGGCGGCGGCCGCCGCGAACCGGTTCGATCCCGGTCCGGATCCAGATCGAGCGTCCGCGCATCCAGATCGAGGACCGGATGCGGTCGGCCGCGCGCGCCGTGCTGCCGCATCCTCTTCGACATTTCCGAAACGTCGAGCGTGAAGTCGGATATGACGTCATCGATGACGTCCTCGACCCCGTGGTTCGTTCAGCGGCGCGCGCGTCTGCGTGCGGACGCGTCGTCCGCTGCGGGTGGCCGTCCCCTTAGGACGGCCGCGACCTGGATCGACCCGCCGGGCGTTCGTCGGCCGCGCCCGCGGGCCCCCGCGGCTGGCCTCCGCGGGGCCGCGCCCGCGCCTCGCCCACTGCGACGTCTTCAGGTTCTCGGTCGAGGTCCCGTCGATCGTCCCTGAGGGGCGGAAAAGAATCCTTCTCCTGCATCGTCTGGTAGGTGACGTCACTGCTGCTGCCGGACATCGTCTGTTCGCTGCGGGTGGGTGGTGGGCCAGACGCCGCGCTGCCGCCGCCTGCATCTTTCGGTATTTCGCCGCCATATACGATACATCATCGGAGCTGAATGCTCTGCTGTTATCTGTGTGGTGCTGTGCGGCGACGAGGCCCTGTCAAGTAAGCGTAGCGAATGCGACTGTTAGAAGATTGTCTGCCATTATTTATTACTTCGCTCTCTCTCTATATCTATCCATCTATCTATCTATCTATCTATTCTATTCTATCTATCTAAATCTATCTGATCTATCTATCGTATCCTATCTATCGTATCTATCTATCTATCTATCAAGTCTATCGTATCTATCTATCTCTATACTTATTGCTCTCTCTCTCTCTCTGTTCGGCTGCTTTATTGAAAAATACAGTCGCATTTATCATACACGCACACATACCCACACACACACACACACCACACACCACACACACACACACACACACACACACACCACACACACACACACACACACACACACACACACACACACACACACACACACACACACACAACACACACACACACACACACACACACACACAACACACACACTACACACACACACACACACCCACACACACGACACACACAAACCACCACAACACAACACACACACAGCACACACACACACACAGTATATATCTATCCACACAGGCAGGAAATCTGAATACGAAGTCCCGCCTGCCTGGCAAGAGCAAGGTGTATGAGAACGTGGTCGTCATCATGGGCGGGGGAGGGGCGGAGCTGATGCCACTGCTGGGACTCACCGACCGTGCAT